GTGTGTGTGTGTGTATACTGTGTGTATATATGTGTGTGTGTGTGTGTGTATGTATGTGTGTGTGTGTGTGTATTCATCCCGGTGGGGACTTAAACCTGAATACACACCGACTCATGGCTACTCGTGTCCTAAATAGAGGTCCACATGGGGAAACAAGCTTATAAATGAGTTTTTTTTTTGAGAATGTAAAAATGCAGAAAGTTTTCTGTGAGGGGTAGGATTAGGTGTAGAGCGATAGAATATATGGTTTGTAACGTTACTGTATAAAAACCATTACGCCCATGGAGAGTCCCCACAAGGATTGTAAACCAAACGTGTGTAATTTTTTGTATTTTTGTATTTTTTTTTAGTCTTAAGTACAGATATATGGAAGGTATTTCTGCCAATTTAAATAAATCAATTCAATTATGAAAATGAAAACCAGGTAAACAATTTAATAATAGAAAACTGTACGCACTCTGTCACTTAAACAATAAACCCCGCCCACTGGTTAACATATAATTTGCATACAGGTTGACTTTGAAAATTAAAACAAATTAAATCTGTGAAATAAACGAGACAATAAAAAGAAACTTTAATTTGAATTGTGTTGCTATTATTGCGTGAGCATTAATTAAAAAAAAAAAGCTTTGTAAAAACTATATTTGCATATTCTTTTTCATGTTTGCCTTTTCATTTTAATATTGGCAGTTTCGCCTCGAAATTGGATAAAAATGTATATTATGTAAGATTATACAAGTAAATTAAGATGCAATTATCCATATTGTATATTACTACAATTTATAGTATAACTGATCATTTTAACTATGTTGTAACATTAATTATTGAAATTGTTAATGAATGTTGTTAGCAAGTTACATTGGACTATAATACTTGATACAGAGTATAGCAGTAGAAATTAATTTTAATGTAATCAAGTTGGAATGCACATATTGCTGTATATTAAATAGTTAATTCCAAATATGAAATAATATTTGTACAATATAATAATTTTTCTAATTGTATAAATATTTATTTTTACTCATTTTACCAGCAGACACGTTCTGTCCTGTGTATAATATTAGTATTTACATTTCACCTATTTTACCAGCAGCCACTTTCACTTGTCACTTGTTTTGTATCTGATTATCCCCCCTAGAGCATCATGCCATGTGAAAGGAAGCCCATGCGTTACGGTCACTCAGAAGGCCACACTGATGTCTGCTTTGACGATGAGGGAAAGTAAGTGACAAATGAGAAATGATAAGATGCCTGTAGTTGATGATGACCATGCTGTGTGTGGTTTCAAACACCTTATGATGTTTCCTAGGTGTATTGTGACCTGTGGGAGTGACGGTGATGTCCGCATTTGGGAAAGTCTAGATGATGACGATCCCAAGTCCATAAATGTTGGAGAGAAGGTCTATTCTGTAGCCTTGAAGGTAAGTTAACATTTGTTTTAGGTATTTTTTTTTTTTGTCAATTATAGTAATATAATTACATGAATAATGCTACAGTGAGTTTTTCCTGTTAAACACCTGAAAATGGTCAATTAAATCCGAATCCTGTTAATTTAACTGTTATTTAAATGTCAGTGTTTTTTTATCCCTCCAGAACGGAAAGTTAGTTACAGCAGTTTCCAACAACACAGTTCAGATTCACACTTTCCCAGAGGGAGATCCAGATGGCATTCTCACTCGATTCACCACCAACGCAAACCACGTCACCTTCAACAGCAGCGGCTCAAGAGTGGCTGCAGGCTCCAGGTATGACTTACTTTCAGTCCTTATCCTGCTACATTTGTATTATAAGGCATGTTTAGGTCTCAGGGTGATCATACATCCTCTTATTCCCAGACATATACTGGCCGGGATTTTTAAATTGCCTAAAACGTCAGCTGATATAAGCTTAGCAGTTTATTAGTTAAAATTGATGTAAAAAAAATCGTATTTAATATTTGTATTATATATTATTGTTTAAATGTATCGTTTAATACTCCCATCTCTGTGCTTTTGACCGGCATCAATACAAAGTCGAAACCACTTCGATCGTTTTATGATTAGTTGTATTTGGCTAAATGGTCGTTTTCTGGATCTATGGATTGTTTTAAGCTGATACATCACGGTTGAAGGCAGCGAGCATGTCACAGCATTGATTGAGCAGTTTTATCCTGCTGCCGATGCTTGAATATTGATGCAGGCGGCACTGGCAGCTGAGCTCCCAACAGGTTATTTGATTTTTTTTTTTCTTCCTGTAGAGGTCGGAAATTAGTTTTTATTTCTTTTCCCTCTTCAGATCATAAAGATCTGCAGTGCCTATATGAGTCTCTGCTGGGCTGAAAATGGTGGAGAATGAAGGCGCTAATTTTGGCATTCTGTTTTCCAGTGACTTTATAGTGAAGATAGTGGAGGTGGTGGACAGCAGTCAGCAGAAGACCCTACGTGGACATGACGCTCCCGTCCTCAGTGTGGCTCTTGACCCTTCTGATGAGTTCCTTGTGAGTGTCATGGTGCCTTTTTATGGTCCGCTGTTATTTGTGAATGTGGCCAAATTAAGAATTGCTCATGAATTAGTTCACAGTGTCATATTTAATGCATACGTTGCCATTACCATTTACCATAACCATTTACTGCATACATTACCATTTGGCGTCTGTAAGTGTATTTAGTTTTTTTAAGAAATTAATATTTTTGAGTAAGGTTGCATTAGTTTGATCATAAGTGACAGCGAACACATTTGTAATGTTACAAATTATTTTTATTACAAATGAATGCTGTTCTTCTAAACTTTATATTCTTCAAAGAATTCTGAAAAAATGTTGTGGTTTCCACAAAAATATTAAGCAGCAAAACCGTTCAAAAACTTTCATTGATAATCAGAAATGTTTCTTGCAAAGCAAATCTGCATTTTTGACAGCTCATGTGACACTGAAGACTGGATTAATGGCTGCTAAAAATTCAGCTTTGCGATTACAGAAATAAGTTATGTTTTAAAATATATTCAAATAGAAAACCGTTATTGTCAGTTGTAACAATATTTCACAATGTTACTGTTTTTAACTGTATTTTTGATCAAAGAAATGCAGCCTTGGTGAGCATAAGAGACACTTTCAAATACATAAAAAAATCTTATTGAACCCAAACTTTAGAACAGTAGTGGATATATGTTGTTTGTTGATGTTTAACATGTTCTTATGAGTCTTTTTATTATGCTCATGTCACTTCCTGACAGGCTTCCTCCAGCTGTGATGGATCAGTTACTGTGTGGTCTATTGAGTCACAGGTATGAGGCTTCGTCAGTTGTTATTACAAAGGAAAAACATGTACAATGGGGTCCAAAAGTCATAGATACCTCTTTATTATGTTTATTAATTATTTTATAGTTATAAGTAGTTGTAAGTTATATTTTCAGGATAATAGTTTTTATTTAAATCAGCTGAATTCAGATTTGAGTTTTAATTTCGGGATTTCGAAAAATAATTTTATTTAAAATAAAACCAAATTCAAAAAAGAACACTGCAGTATATCTATTTTAATTGTATCTCAGCCTATCTTTGTTCTAAAATTTTAAATAAAAAAATGGTTTAAATGTATTTTAGATCTGATGTAAAGCTGGTGAACTCTGTTGCGTGTTTTAGACTCAAGTAGCTCAATGGAAAATTCTCCAGAAGTCGAGTGATGTGAGCAATGCCAAGTCTCTCTGTAGGCTTGCATGGCAGCCGCGTTCTGGAAAGGTATTGACAATTTCACACACACACACACACACACATATATATATATATATATATATATGGCCTCCTTTGACTTCAAAATTCAATTTACATTTTCAAGTTTTCTCTTTGGTTGCTTCCTATATAACGGCTTTATGAGCACATCAATCAGTCTCTGTCATCTATACAACTCCCATCACCAGTATCTTACAACAGTCGTGATATTTAAGATTAAGTTTTTTATTTGTTGTGTGTATATATGTGTGTAGCTGCTTGCCATACCGGTGGACTTGACCATTCAACTGTATGACAGAAACACATGGACACATGTCAGCACGCTCTCCGGTGACCTCATCTCACAGGTCAGTAGAAAGCAACTCAGCGATTTACAGTGGA